TTGAAAAATTTTAAAAATACATAGGCACGATTTTAGATTGTGAGTGAAACGATGAATGTATTGATTTTACAATGATGTGTGTTTTTTTTTTTATTTTTTTTTTTATTTTTTTTTATTTTTTTATTTTTTTATTTTTTTGTATCTGTGTACACGATAAGTAGTCGAAATAATGCTTCGATTTTCGACTTCAGTATCTTGTTCGATTGGAAAGTGAATATCGTTGGTGCATTGGGGAGGTCAAAATTTAAATTTCCCAGTAGTTTTCACAAGCGCCGGGAAAAACAACATAAAAATTAAGGAAAAACGGGAATTTTTACGCAAAATTGATTTTCCAAAAAATCGATTTTGGTTATTGGTGTAACTCTAAAACAAATGAACGTATATACATGAAATTTTCACTGGTTGTTTATATTTGCATTTTCTATACACGATATCATTTTCAAAATATTTTGATTTATTTTGAACTGTTTAGGGACATTTTCATTTTCCATTTTTTTTTAGTTTTTTTTCTAAAAATTTCAATAAAATTTTATTTGTTGGTTGCGAAAGCTTGAAAATTTAATAGAAGGCTCCTTATATGTTGTTTCAAAGGCAGATGAAAAATATTAAAAATCCTTAGTCACAATTTTTTTTTATAAGCATTTAAAGTTCAAAAATTGACAAAATATGGAAAAATCACGAAAATTAGCAAATTATTTTGAGTTAAGAATTCGTAAAAATTTTTCTTTTTAAATCTAAGATTTGAAAATCTAATACAAGATTACTCATAAGATTGTCTACCTTTATCAATAAAAAAATTTCTACCGGAAAGTCAAATTAAATTTTTATGAGCGTTTGAAATTCAAATTTTTACAACATTGGATATTCACTCGATTTCTCATGTGGCAATTTCCTTTTTTTGTTGTAATTAAAAAACGAATTACTGTAGATACATGAAAATTTCACTGAATGTTTGTATTAGCATTTCCTATACACCCTACAATTTTGAAAATATTTTGACACTTTTTGAGCCGTTTACGGACATTTTCAGTTTTCAATTTTTTTAGTTTTTTTTTTCTATAAATATCAATTAAGTTTTATCTGTTGGGCCAAAAAGTGTAAAAATTTAATACAAGGCTCCTGATATATTGTTACAATATCAGTTAAAAAATATTAAAAATACATAGGCACAATTTTTTTTTATAAGCATTTTAACATCGAATTTTGATAGAATTTTTCAAAATCTCGAAAATTATTAATCATCGTAATTAATAAATTATAAAATGTTCAGTTTTTATAGCTAAGGATTGAAAATTTAAAACAAGATTCCACGTAAGTAGTTAATTCTCTTACCGAAAAATCTAAAAAATATACAATCACAGTTTACTTTTATAGTCATTTTATGTTCAAATTTGGACGAAATTACATATTAAAAAACCTAGTTATTTTGTTGTGATTATATAATATTATTCGTGGGTACCTACTTGAAACTTCTAAAGTGTACTATTATATATATATGATAGTATCAGGGTTTGTTGTTGATGTTGATGTATAACGTGTTATAAGTACCTAATGGATATTGTGATAATGTGATATGATTAATTTGGAATTTATTATAGGTCAATTTTTTTTTTAATACCATAGATATGTATATAATTTGTATTAAACCTAGACTGACATACCGTCTTCGCTCAGAATCGTTTTTCTTATACAATGATATTGTATCATTGTATTCAAATTTAATAGCATCCATTATACAGTGACCCACTTGTAACCTACTGTACAGCAGAGCGACATCCACTTACCCACCTTTTTTTTTATAAGCATTTAAAGTTGGAATTTTGACAAAATTTATCAAAATCTCGAAAATTATCAATCGTCGGAATTAATAATTATAAAATGTTCAGTTTTTATAACTAAGAGTTGAAAATTTAAAACAAAGATTCTCTTAAATAATTCATACTGTAACCAAAAAATCTAAAAAATATATAAACACACTTATTTTTTACAGACATTTTAAATTCAAATTTGGACGAAATTACATATTAAAAAACCTAGAATAACTATTTTAGTTATTTTGTTGTGATTGAATAATATTATTCGTGGGTACTTGAAACTTCCAAAGTGTACCTACTATTATATATTTATGATAGTATCACAGTTTTTGTTGATGTATAACGCGTTATAAGTATCTAATGGATATTGTGATATGATTAATTTGGAATTTATTATAGGTACCTAATTTAATTATAGGTCAATTTTTTGTTTAATACCATAGATATGTATATAATATGTCTTATACATAGACTGACATACCGTCACCGCTCAGAATCGTTTTTCTTATACAATGATATTATATCATTGAATTCAAATTTAATACCATCCATTATACAGTGACCCACTTGTAACCTACTGTACAGCAGAGCGACACCCACTTGCCCACCTTTTTTTCTTTGGAATGATATATGTGGAAAATGTTAATTCTTATTTCCTAATAAATTGAATTAATAAGAATTAGGTAGGTAGGTAGGTAGGTACAGTTTTAATTTATCAGTTATTAACGATACCTATAAAGCAATAACTCGACTAATAATTTGTACATAAACTTTCAAAAAAAAAAATAATAAGTTCTTCACCGATGAAATTTTTAAGACCTGACGCCAACGGTTGGCGGCCAACCTATTGCTATAAATTATATTAGGTATACACAAATAGGTCAGTTTACATTAGCTTGTCCTTCTGTCATTCAATACATTTTTAAATGTTTGTTGAATCATTTGGTTTATTTCACATTTCCAGCTTTATACCACAGTAGAAATATAAAACTCATCAGTACCATGTGCCTGTGTTATTGAACTCTTCAAGATCTGCTGACTGCTGCAACCATAATTCACAAATCATAAGCAGACTGCACTTGGGGCACGACTGTAACCAGTGACCACAAGGCATAGACATTGTAGATGTTGCAGCTAATAATTTAGCTTTTCGCACTTCTGAGTTATAACTACTGTGTTTGAAGAACTAAAATGATCTGCTACACCCTATCCTAGTGACCCTACACTACTGACCGATAAATATATTACGTCCGATCTGCGTAAAACTGTATTATCTACAGTACCTACCTAGTTATATTCAGCTGTTAAATTATTAAAATAATTTAGCTTAGCCTATAGGTCGTATGTACCTATATAGTTATACACTTATACAAGCGTATACACTATGCAGGGGTTAAAGAGTAATACCATAGTTATACTCAAGTCGGGTCAATTTTATTTTTAGATGCTGAATTCGATGAATGAATTATTTTTACAACGATATGTAATTTTTTTTCTGTCTGTCATAATCTTTTGGGGTAATAAAAATGCTCCGATTTAATACATCAGCATCTTTTATGATCAAAAATTGAATCTTATTAATGCATTCAGGAGGTCAACATTTGTAGTTTTCGAAAGAGTCTGGAAAACAAAAATAATCCAGAAAAAAATGGGAATTTTTACGCAAAACAAGTTTTTAACAAATTTTATTTTTTATTTTTGGTGTAACTCAAAAAATAATAACCGCAGAACCTAAACAATTTCATCAAATGTTTATATTAGCATTTTCCAACATTTCAAAATATTTTTACTCTTTGAGTTTTTGAGCCATGAGACATTTTTAAATGTTGTTAATTTTTTTTAATATTATGGATAAAAAATTTTTACTCTTCAAATCTTGAAAATGTAATGCTAGGTTTCTTATAAGTTGTAATACGAATGCAGTAAGTTCTCATAAGATATCAATTTATTCAAAAATATTAAAAATATATAGGCACCATTATTTTCTATATGCATTTAAATTTTGATTTTGACAAAAATTATTTTTCAGTTAGAAATTCATAACAATTTTTATTTTCATAGCCAACATTAGAAATTTTAATAAAAGATTCCCACAAGATTTTATACCTTTCAAGTTTGATTCAGACCAAGAAACATTCACCAGAAGCAATGAAACATATTATGTTCCTTACACAGCCGTCAACAAATATTCATGTTACCGTTTATGACAGGGAATTAGAAACATTGTTAACGACAAATTTTTCTTTGGTCTCGGCGAGGCTTTACAGTAAAAAAATTTACCGAAAAGTTACACTATTTATAGCCATGAAATATTTTAAATTTTTATTAATTTTAATTTTTACTTCTTAAATTAAATTATTTATATCCACATATATGACTGACCAATCGTCTCCACTCAGAATAGTTTTTCGTATGCAATGATTTATAGTTCAATTCAAACAAATTGTTTTGAGCTGTTTATGAACAATTTAAAATTTAAATTTTTTTAGTTTTTTTCTATAATTATTGTCAATAAAATTTATTTGTTGTCTAAAAATGTGTGAAAATACAAGGCTCCTGATATATTATTACAATATCAGTTGACAAATATTAAAAATACATAGGGACAATTTTTTTAATGAGCATTTAACATTAAATTTTTGATCAAATTTATCAAATTTAAAATGTAATAATTATTTTGTAGGTAGTTAAAAATTTATAAAATGTTCAACTTAATTATTAATATCTAAGGATTCAAAATTTAAAACAAGGTTCCACATAAATAGGTTATATATAAATAACTTAATTCACAATAGTATCATATATACTTAGTAATTTCATAGACTGACTGACCGCCTTCGCTCAGAATCGTTTTTCTTATACAACAATATTACCTATATCATTGAATTCAAATTTAACACCATGTATTATAGTGACCCACTTGTAATTTACTGTATAACAAAGCGACACCCACTTGCCCACCTTTTTTTTATTATGTTGATAATATGAATTAAGAAAATATAATAAGCAACAAAAATTCATTTCAGAAATGTATATTTTGTTTGTAGTCAAATATTCCTACAATAATAACTGGAACAATAATTATATTAAAAAATATTAGTATAAGCAAACACAGTATGTTAATTTTTTACAGCAATAAAACTGTTGTAAAATATAACAAAGCAATTATGTGGTAGTACAAAATCTTCATCTTTTTCTCTTCAGTTTGATAATACACTTAGGGCAATACCACTTTCCGTGTGGTTGTTTTGTAATACCAACACATTCATAATGAAACCATTCATGTGGGCACTAGAAAAAGAAATATGAATTATTTAAAATATTGAACATTTTTTTAAATGACCACTTATAATATTTATTAAATTTATTTTAATTTAAATTATACTTACTTTTTTATTATCACAAGCCACCATTGTACCATAAGCTACTCTATTACATAAACAGTATCGCGGCTCATTAGAATCATTTGATTCGTCTTCATCAGTTGATATTTCTTTACAAACAATTTCTCTTTTAAGTCTACAATTTAAAAAAAAAATATTATAATATCATAATTATCAAAGATAAAGCTGTTAATATTACTCTATTTACTTTTTATGTTTTTTGTTTGGTTACTGCTAGAAATAAAGTCTTTACTATTGGAAAATGCTTTTGATAAAAACTCCGATTTGTCTATAATTTGGTTATAATTAATTGCATCAAAAGATGCTTTTAAACTAGCTGACCTCAGTCCACCAGATAGCTGAAACAAATACATCAAAAATATTTATAATTTAAAGTATGTTAAGGACAGACAAACTTATCTTTGAAAAATTTTCTCAATTCACTTACCATAGTGAGTTGTGATGATTTATAATCAAATTTTAAGAACAATAAATTATGAGAGCTCATATAAGAGTTTGCTGTCCAGCATTATAATTAACATAACATGATTATTATATGAATAATTGTTCATTACAATTTTGAGACTTAATACTTAAAAACCATTTTAAAAATCTTAAAAATCACAATACATATTAATTATGGCAACTACAGAAGTAGAATATTAGCTCAATATCTATTATATTTTATTTATATAGGTTATTCATTCGAAATTCAAATATAGTTTTATATAGAAATAAACATACAGGAACAACTTTGTTTAAAACAATCTAAACAATTTCAGGATTATACAATTATTACTAGTATCTAGTATCTATTTTGAGTTCCTCGCATATTATCCGAAATCAATGAATATCTTACATTTTGGTATATTAAAAAAAATATTATTAAAAGTGTCATGTTATATCCCATTCTTTAATAATGCCAATAACAAATCTTAAATTTTCTAAGAATCTAAAATTGATTTTTCACAAATATTCAGTTTTTAATACTTTTTAAAATATGAACAAGTTATGAACAATAATACATTTTAATATTTTGTAAAAATAATAACTACCTATTAGCAATATTTAATAATTAATTGCCCAACTAAATTAGACAAGTTGTTAATAAATTAAAAATTAAATAGTTAATAAATTATTTATTATTTTAAACCGCCTTTCACTATGCTAAGAATAAATAATAAACATTTCTCTAGAGCAATTTTTAATAATACCTTTTGAGAAGAAACAATAGCTTCAGACACAACTGCTGAAATTGCTGAGCAACTTTCCCCCATAGTGAAGGATAACGGAAATGGAGCCATTTGAGAATTAACAAGATTTGTATCAGGTTGCAAGTATGATACTAATTCTTCACTGCTAGATGCATCTGAAGCTACCTCAATAGATTTTTGATTGATACTGCTAACATTTTTTAAGACTTCTTCTGTTTCTACAATAACAGAACAAAAGATAATGTTTATTTAATACTGTTCTCTTTTAAATATAGAATTATTCTAAAAGGAAAACAGCAGGTATACCAGATAAGTTAAGGTAATAACGGTTTATTTACATACCTATCTAATTATTGTATTTTAGTAATAATTAATTGCTTATTTAATATTTACTAAAATACTAAATTTAAATATAAAACAAGTATTTAAGTAATTTATTTTAAAAGTGGTTATTTATAAAGAAATATATTTAGGTATTTAGCTATGACTAATATTTGTAAAAAGTGTTATAGTAAACAAAACAAAAAAACATTTATAGGACCTAATTAAATAAAGTTACTATTTACAGTAATAAATTGTATACTTTTTAATTAATAAATATCTTGGAAGGTGGTGAACTGTAATATTTATGTGTGGAGAAAAAATTATAACGCATGAATACTTTATTCCAAATAAGATCAGACTTCGTCCGTCTGAGTTGTGCGCATGGGTGTGGCTTTGTTTCCATGGCAGAGCCTGATGTGCCGCCGTAGTGGGGACGGTGTGTGACCTTGCGGAACAAAAACTTGTCATCGGCGAGGCCTGATCTTATTTGAATAGTATTCGTACCTATGAAAAAAAAAAAAAAATCGATGATAATAAATAGGCAATCTGTTCATGTTAAAAATGTTTTAATTCCTATTTTTATGCAACTTAAAAAAAAACTCTAATCAATGATTTCCTTTAAACTTATGATTATATATTAATGTCATCAAAATTGTGAATTATCCTTCATTTTCACACCTATTAGGTACCTACATAACAAGTCATACTGTTAATGAAATTAGGTTGCTTAACAGTATTACACAGACAACTAAAATATAATTAAATAACAATACTACACATAATAACCACAGTTTTCATAAGAGCATAAATTACCCATTACATTACCACATTACAACAGTTGATTCCAATAAAATCACTCAATTATTTGGTGTGATTGTTTCCATCATAATTGTTTATTATTAATGATAATCTACTGAATATAAAAATAAGATATAATTCTACATTGGTAAACAATGATACAACTAACTTAAGCAAAAATATCACAAATTCATTAAATTACAAATTTTGAAATGAATAAAGCAAAATAATAATATACATAAAATTGTATTCAATTTATAAATAAATAAAACATTGTCAATAAATAATTAGTTTTTAAAATATCCAAATTTTTACACGATAATTGATAAAAAAAAATATAATAAGGTTAAATCATTAAATACAGGAACTGGCAGAAACATAGATGGTACGAAGCTTGACCTTTCAAATGTATAAACTACCTACCTCCAAAAGGATATCTGTTTGTTTCATAATCATTTTCTTTATGACTGGATGTATTGCTTTGATCTGAATCTAAAATTCCTAAGAATAAAATAAAATTCAAAACTGGTTAGTATAGGTTAGGTAGTAGTATAAATCAAATTTGTTTAATGAATTCATTACAAACTACAATAAAAATTATATTTATTAAGCTATTACTTTTTTCAATAATTTCAGTGATTCCACTTTTGTCTGCTTCCAATTCAGTTTTAAATCCTTGCAACTCAAGATCCAATCGATTTATGTATTTTGACAAGAGTTTTTGCATGTCGTTGGCTAATTGAAGTTTTGTATCTAAAATAAAATTTTTTTAGAATAAAATAATCAAAATACATCATAAAAAAAGTTTACCAGATTTCTTAAGAGCTTTGTCACCTTCATTCATTAGTGACTTAAAATTATCTTTCAAATCATCTGGATTCATAGTGTCAGCTTTTGAAAATAAAGTATCTACATTATTTTTTATACATTTCATTGATTCTGAAATCAAGTACATAATATAATAATTAACTTGCAAAAGTCATCTAGTTAATGCTCACTGAAATTTTGTTTTTTTTTATTGTATAGTTTGCTAGGTACCATTTTGTTGTAGTTAGGTATTCTAACAAATTATAAAAATGTAAATTGTTTAAATTATCAAAAACAAGGTACCTATTACTTAAACCATGTAATGATAAACACAATAAAATAAACCACTGTAATATACAAAACAATAAAACAGAGGTACTTAGGTATAGGTATTCAATATTGTATATTATAATTTATCTAATCTGTCATCAGATACAACTTCAATTTCTTTGTTATGATAGTGTCACTACGGTAGCATTTTCACTGCTAGATGATACAACATAAATAAAAACTCTATATCAGTCTATTGTCCGTTCTCATTTTGATTATGCACTTCTTATCTGGCAATTATAGTTCAAAACTCACATAGGTACAAAGTTTAGAAAAAGTTTAAAATAATTTTATTCGTTTCTTATGTTTTCAATGTTTTGTCTTTAGAACTCCACATTCAGGCTGCGAAGTGGAGTCAAACATTTTTAATATATACTTAAAAACCGTTTCCTTCAAATAAAACCAAAATTTTTATACAAAATAATAAATAATATGATTGATTGCCCTGAAATACTTCAAAACATACATTTTAAAATAAATTCAAAAAATTGTCGAGAAAAAATCTAATCACATCATACATGTCAAATTTGCCGTCAAATATTCTAATGTTGGCTAGAAATTATGTTGATAATATTGATATTTTTAATAGATACATCCTGACAGAATTTTCTGTTCAAATTTTAAGATACTCATATCAAATAAAATTATTTTTTTAAGTATAACTTAGTATTTTTTGTATACCTTTTGATTTGATTGTATAATTGTAAATTAATATATAGGTATCATAGCTTTAAATATTTTGTATTAAATAAAATATAAAATAAAAGTATGTAATTTGGAATTATATTTTGGTTAATAAAGATTATTATTATTAAATAGCAATCACCAATAACTGTTAATAATAAAACCCAAAAATATTATGATTTAATTCAGAAATGCATGTTTTATATACATTAAAATTTATCTGATTTGACAGTTTTTTAGTGTTCAGCAAGTTGAAAATTTACTTTTTCTGGTCACTAACTGCATAGAAAAGCCTTTTAAGGCAGCTGAGCAGAAAAAGGTAATTTTCCACAACTTCTATATACCTAGGTAGGAATTGAAAATTAAACTTTTGTTGCAGGTGCCAACAAAATAATATAACCCAGCACAGTGAAATATAATATATTTTATTAATGACAGTGAAAGCTGAGAATTGAAATTACAATGTCTTTTAATTTGGTAATTTGTCATTAAAAGCCGAATAAATTGTTAAATAAATAATTACATACTTTCTACTTGCGAGTCCAATTTTCCAATTTCTGATGTCCGTTTTTTGATCTCTTGCGGTAAAAGTTCAAGTTCTTGAACAAAAAATGATTACGTTGTACAATCTCGTTTTCAATATAAAGTCAAGAACTTACTTTCCAGAAAATCTTCCAAATAGAACATGGTCATAATTAATGTCACGAGAAATAACTACGAAGAACTATACCCGATATTTTACATATAATTTGAACTCAATAAAAACGAGACTAAATTATTTTGTATTATTTAAACGGTTAACCGACTGATGCGATAAACGTGATTCTACTGATTCTTAAGTGATACTAGGTAGGTACTAGTGATAGGTTGTTGTAAAATATGGTAAATACTGATTAATTATACAAATTCACTATGTATGAATCATTAAGTGAATATTAACAAAAACCGTTTCCGCTTTCCGATAAACTATTTTCAGTTATACCTACACTTATAATGCCTACTGATTCATGTAATATAATATTTAACTAAATAAATAATTAACTTGGGTACCGATCAAAACGTATTTGTGTATTACCTATTACTTGCATTATCATGGTTCATGAACATTGGACTGTTCTTTAGCCGGCAGCCACTTTTAATTATTATCGCATTGCCCTTATCATCCGACAGCCGACAGAATGAAAATTAATACCCACAATGGCAATCACGTTTTAATACAATACATAGGTACCTAATGTTATTGTTTACAATTCAGCGGTTCCCAACCTTTTATGAGCGTGACCCTAACATTTTAAATTTAACATTTGGTGACCCAAAGAAAAAAAGGTGGGCAAGTGGGTGTGGCTCTGCTGTACAGTAGGTTACAAGTGGGTCACTGTATAATGGATGGTATTAAATTTGAATTCAATGATATAATATCATTGTATAAGAAAAACGATTCTGAGCGGTGACGGTATGTCAGTCTATGTATAAGACATATTATATACATATCTATGGTATTAAACCAAAATTGACCTATAATAGGTACCTATAATAAATTACAAACTAATCATATCACAATATCCATTAGATACTTATAACGCGTTATACATCAACAAAAACCGTGATACTATCATAGATGTATAATAGTACACTTTAGAAGTTTCAAGTACCCACGAATAATATTATTCAATCAAAAATAAATAACTAAAATCGTAATTCTTGGTTTAAATATGAAATTTTGTCTAAATTTGAAATTAAAATGTCTGTAAAAAATAAGTGTGTTTATATATTTTTTAGATTTTTTGGTTAAAGTATGAATTATTTAAGAGAATCTTTGTTTTAAATTTTCAACTCTTAGTTATAAAAACTGAACATTTTATAATTTTTTAATTCCAACGATTGATAATTTTCGAGATTTTGATAAATTTTGTCAAAATTCCAACTTTAAATGCTTATAAAAAAAATCATGCCTATGTATTTTTAATATTTTTCAACTGCTATTGTAACAATATATCAGGAGCCTTGTATTAAATTTTTACACTTTTTGGCCCAACAGATACACCTTTATTGATATTTATAGAAAAAAAAACTAAAAAAAATTGAAAGCTGTAAATGTCCATAAACCGCTCAAAAAGAGTCAAAATATTTTCAAAATTGTATGGTGTATAGGAAATGCTAATTTAAAGATTCAGTGAAATTTTCATGTATCTACAGTTGTTCGTTTTTGAATTGCAACAAAATAAGGAAATCGCTACATGAGTAATCGAGTGAAAATCCAATGTTGTAAAAATTTGAATTTCAAATGCTCATAAAAATTTAATTTGACTGTCCGGTAGAGATTTTTTTATTGATAAAGGTAGATAATCTTATAAGGAATCTTGTGTTTCATTTTCAAATCTTAGATTTAAAAAGAAAAATTTTTACGAATTCTTAACTCAAAATAATTTGCTAATTTTCGTGATTTTTCCATATTTTGTCAATTTTTGAACTTTAAATGCTTATAAAAAAAAATTGTGACTAAGGATTTTTAATATTTTTCATCTGCCTTTGAAACAACATATTAGGAGCCTTCTATTAAATTTTCAAGCTTTCGCAACCAATAAATAACATTTTATTGATATTTTTAGAAAAAAAACTAAAAAAAAATGGAAAATGAAAATGTCCCTAAACAGTTCAAAATAAATCAAAATATTTTGAAAATGTTATCGTGTATAGAAAATGCAAATATAAACAACCAGTGAAAATTTCATGTATATACGTTCATTTGTTTTAGAGTTACACCAATAACCAAAATCGATTTTTTGGAAAACCAATTTTGCGTAAAAATTCCCGTTTTTCCTTAATTTTTATGTTGTTTTTCCCGGCGCTTGTGAAAACTACTGGGAAATTTATACTTTTGACCCCCCAAAGTACCAACTAGATTCACTTTCCTACCAGAAAAGCTACTGATGAAGAAAATCCAAGCATTTTTACTGTCCTAAAACGTGATGACAGACACAAGAATATAAATAAAAATATAAATAAAAATATAAAAAAAAACATACATCATTGTAAAACCAATACATTCATCGCTCCGCTCAGAATCTAAAATTCGTAATTGCTAACACATATTTTATTTAACAACATCAAAAAAATACAAATAAAAAACTGATCAGTATACAATATTATAAAAATGATTTTTTTCAATTTTTTAGAAATCCCATGAAATAATTGCATTAAATTTGTGTTTATTTTGGGAACATTTGATTTTAAACAAAAAAAGTGATTTCTAAGAAACATAGTCTAGAGACTAGAAGTTAATAAATTCAACCATTTTGTCGAAATCACAATCGAACTTCGAGAAGCATGATTAATTTACTACCGCTTTTAGTAGTATTATAGTCATACCCAACACGAATATATTTCTTTTTTCGCGATGTATTGACATGCGTGTGCGCGTGTGAGAGTTGCTTCCGGCTTGGGCGCGGTTGCCCGACTCGACGTGCAGCGATTCTCGGAAACGATAACGGATTACGCACACTAATTGTTCATTTACTACTCACACATAGATACAGTATTAATTTATACGCTACATGAATTGCCTAAATAGTACTCCTTAAAATGTGCTACGGTGCAGACCCCCTTAAAATTGGTTTATCTTTTAGTTGTGCCCAAAATTAATCAATAAATATTTAATACAAGAATAACACATCAATACTAATATGCGTAAGTATACCAAAACTACGATAAGGACGCATCAATGGAATTTCGGGAAATAATACAATGAACAAAAATAGAAATTATATACCTAAACTACATTACTACGCTATGAAGGAATCACGGAAAAAAAAACCAAGGAAAAAAAACCAAGGAAAAAAAACCAAATAAAAAAAACCAAAAAATAAAAAACCAAAGGAAAAAAGACCACGGAAATAAAAACCAAAAGAAAAAAAAACCATGAAAATAAAAACCAAATTTTTATATTTTGCTATATTAATTCATATTTAAAACAACATACGTTAATGGCAAATACAGGCAAGTTAGAAATGAACAAAATAGTCTTAAAAAATTGCCCACCTATTTTTCCTCCAAATTTATGGAACGTACACGACTCAACTTTAAATGATGAAGAACGCACAAACAATTCGACGGAAGGATGGAACAATAGATTTAGTAAATTGGTAGGACAAACACATCCAACAATTTGGACTATTATAGCTAAAATAAGGTTGGAAGTGGCAGCTGATGAGACAAAGCTAGCCCAAATTCAATTAGGAGTACCACAACAAAAACGACAAAAAACGGTGTACAAAAAAATACAAATCCAATTAAAAAAATTATGCGAGGATTATGATAATGGTATCCGTGATATTGAAAACTTTTTAGCTGCTATCTCCTATACAATAAGATATCGATAACTTACGATTTTTTTTATTATTTTATTATTTTTACTTTATTTGACTGTAGACTGTTTGTATTGACAATTTTTAAAACGTGAAACTTATTTTAAATTATTACTTATATTATTGTATTGTGACAAATTTTTAAAAAGTATTTAAAATCTATAAAATGTTAATTTTTTTTAATTATTTTTACTTTATTTGACTGTAGACTGTTTGTATTGACTATGTATTTGACTGATTTATGTTTGTATTGACAATTTTTAAAACGTGAAACTTATTTTAAATTATTACTTTTATTATTGTATTGGACAAATTTTTAAAACGTATTTAAAAATTATAAAATGTAAAATTTTTTAAACAGTTTAACCTATTTGAAATTATTATTATTATAATTATTATTATTAATATATATTTAACAGGTAGAACACTTGGGCAGTTGGATTATTGATCAAAATTTTTAAGTAGACAATTAAAACTTAAGTTTAATGAAATATGAATTAATATAGCAAAATATAAAAATTTGATTTTTATTTTCATGGTTTTTTTTTCTTTTGGTTTTTTTTTTTTGGTTTTTTTTTCCTTGGTTTTTTTTCCGTCTACCGCTATGAAGATATGACCCCGCACATCCCATCCATATTTTTTTATATTATAACCTATTTAAAATTATTTTCTTCCATAATCATTTTATTATTAGAATATTTCTAGAATTTTTTTTCTTGAAAATGAAATGAATAACTAAAATGAATAAGTAAGTTTTCGCGACCCACCATAGAAACCTCTGCTAATCCCCTAATTCGGGTCTCGACCCGAGGTTGGAACCGCTGGTTTACATGATGACATAATTATTATTGTTTTTACGAGTGTTGCAATAATTTGTATTATTAAATATAAAAACTTCATGTATTATGTTTGGAAATAATTAACTTATTAACCCGACTATCGTCTGCACAAATCTATTCGTAGGTACCTACCCCTATTCGTAAAAAAATGTGTTTAAAAAATGTATGTTTCAAAAATTATTCTGTTGTGGATTATAATTTGTTTAGTGAAAAACCCACAAACGTTTGCCTGTAAGTGATAAGTTTACCTACATTTTTTTTTCTTAATGTTTTATGAGCATAACCAGTAGCGTATTAGTCCAGTATGCCACTATTCCATAATACAGTGGAGTAGCTTATACGTTTTGGCACAATAGCAAATATATTATCTATAACTACAGCCCACGAGAGTCCCATACGTAAAAACGCGTCCGTCGCTGCTCATCGGTTCCGCTTCCATACGCCGCCGAATCATACAGACCGGAAGCCGGCCGGCAACGATCGTCGATAG